AGCTAGTTATCATCACCCACCGCCAACTCTTGGGCTACTCTTTTACCAACAGAAGATTAGTGAACACAACTCGTTGAAGGAAATGGTTTTTTGTTTTATTTTTTATTACCACTACAACTCGTCATTTTCTGAAGGGTTAGACAAGGCTAGTAATATAATAATATCTCGTTCTTACACCGCCTACCATTCTTTCTGCGCTTCCCAATGTAGGTCGTTACACTTTTGTTTTTAGACTTCGTGAGTCGGATAAGGATTGTTTATTGTTCCGAAAGCTTGGGACATAATAAACATGAGGTACAATTTAATTTTAGAAGATTTTTCGTTGCTATTAATTTTAAAACACGATTATTCTGTTAGTCTGCTAGCATTCAAATCAAAGTAACACAATGCATACATCTATGCCCCCCCCCCCAGTGGCACAGCGGCATGCCTATGGACTTATACCGCTAGAAACCGGGTTTCGTTACTCGTGGTGGGCAGAGCACAGATAGCCCTTTGTGTAGCTCTGTGCTTGATAACAAACGACAACAACAACGTACATCTATGAAAATATTAAGATACAGTATGTGCTAAGACATTAAAAAACCAGTAAATAATTCAAACAAATGCAATATTTTCCATTATTCCTAGTGTAATATAATATAAACTAAACATATTACCTATCTTTCCATATTCAATTTCAAATTAGGTATTCTGCTACACATTAACCAAAACTCGTGAAACTAACGTCGTTAAAATAGAGGTCGTCAAAGTAGATTAACTACGTTGTTTTATATAGTAACAAGTTCAGCTAAATTAAATTGGTTTAATTATATACGAAAATTTAAAGCCTCACCTTTAATCTCCTTCTCTTAACGGCTTTAGTTATCTTCTGCGTATTAATGTTTCTAAACTTAAATCAGTCTTTTTAAAATGGGATATTCATAACCAACGAGTACTTGTTGTTTAAGAATTTTTGTACAAAGCTACACAAGCACTATCTGCGCATAGCTATTTTGAATTGATAGTCTACAGATAAGACAGTTAGTCAACATCATTGACTGCCAATTCTTGTACTACTCTTATTTGACCGAATTGTAGGATTTGCCTTCTCTCTTATATCACCCTCACCCCACAAGGGACGTGGGCCACGAACCATCTGATTCGCAGTCCGGCACTCTAACCTTTAGGCCACACCCGATATTATAAAGAACGAAGTAAAAGTATCAGTGATAAAATTCTGGTTAGAAATAACATTGTTCTTTCTCAAACTTTTTAAAGCGGGTTTAGTTTGGACGATTCATAGAAATCTTTATCATAACCGTAATTCTTTTTAGATATTCGCCTGTTTAAAACATCTGTCAGTTGAACTCAAAAACGTCATGTTTCAGTAAAATTATGGGATAAATCTGGACAGTCAACTCATTATAGAAAATACGCAAATTGATAGAAAAGTTTTCTAAATGATAAATTAACACAAATAATCCTCTCCGTAAATTTTACACTTAAAAACAGAAAACAAATAATGCTGCGTATGGAAGATGTTTTAACAACGTACAGACCTAGACTTGTTAGCTCCACATTGATTTCAGGATTAACTTCGGCTATATATTGTTATAATAACTGTACTTGTTTCGTTCATACAGTGTTCATATAAAAGCATTCTTGCATAATTGACATATTTCAATTTGATATACTTATTTTTGGTAGTCGATTAAATTCCACTTATCACTCCATTGTAACACTGAACTAATCCACCTTTACATTTCATATTTTTCAACAATCAGTAGTGTTATGCATACCGTTTGTACATTGTTTCTATCTTCATTATCTAACAATATCACTTTCTTTACGTGGAGGCTATTTTTTAGACTATTTTCTTATTGCATAAATATTTCAATTCCCTAAGAATAATATTTATAATTGAGAATATTCAACTTTGAACGCAAAGATGCATACAGGCAAAATGGAATGATTTATGTTGTAAAGATTATCATGTCAAGAGGCCCTAAGCACCTGGACTCGCACCCTCAAACTGACACTGGCTCACATGGAATAGCTACTTAATATGGACTTTACAAACAAGATCATAAGAAGAAGAATTATTAAAAATTAAATGTACTATCAAAGTACAGTTTTTTCATATGCCGTTATTAAAGCGGTTTGTGTCTGAGCATTTAGATTAAAGAATTAAATAAACATGATTTAGCACTACAGAGAATGTGACCAAAACTTGTTAAATTCTTTACTTTAGTAAGATGGCGTTTTTTATCATCGAAGTAATAGTGTCTAATAAACAAAATAAGTACATTTACACTGAGATGGCTGCAGCTGGACAAATTACGTTTTCACCATCGTTAGAATTGTCAGATTTATAAAGTTTTACAATATTTTTAAAACACCATATAAACTGTATAGATTCACGAATTCTAAAATAACCTCTATTTTGTAAACCAAAATAAATCTGAATTAACACTTTTCTTGCTATGAATTGCCATCGTCAAAACTATTCTATAAATTCCGATAAAACCCACACATATTGTATAAGAATAGATAATCTTCTATTATTTTCGAATCTGAAGGTTTTAATAACAAATGCACAAACCGAAACAAATGAGAAGCATTTACACGGATTAGTTTAAGCTTTTGTTTGTTTACCTATTGTTTTTTGTTTTTTCGAATATAATATTGAGTAAAAAAATCACTAACGATCTACATCTCATTTATGCATATGTGTGAAGCTGTTTTATTTGTGTTTGTCCCTCAGTGGAACAGTGGTAAGTTTACGGACTTACAACTCTAAAATCCGGGATTCAATTCGTCCCGGTGAACAGAGTGCAGGTTGCCCATTATGTAGCATTACGCTAAACAAACAAACCTAAACCTATTTGTTTAGTAAAATACGAAGTACGCCTTCTTAATTAGGAAATATTTAGCTATGGTTAGTTTTTGTTTTCATTGTCGATGTCGAAAAAACATAATGAACGTTTTAATGTCTAAAATCGCTTAAGAAGTTTTCACAAAGCATTAAAGTTATTTCAATCAGCGACAATGATTTTATCAGAAGATCTCTAACAAAGTACTTACAAACCCATGTTTTACTCGTGTTGTCAAGCTCCGAAAGATGGCGTCGTATTTAAAACCATAATGAAACAGCTTAATTTTCAAACAAGACACTCTATCGATACACAGTAGTTATCAAAGACACGCGAGGCTGCATGCAATAAATCCTTGACGAGATTGTCCTACTGACGAGAACATGAGAGCAACAGTAT